ATCTCCCACTCCTCCGTGTCACAGGTATCTCCCACTCCTCCGTGTCACAGGTATCTCCCACTCCTCCGTGTCACAGGTATCTCCCACTCCTCCGTGTCACAGGTATCTCCCACTCCTCCGTGTCACAGGTATCTCCCACTCCTCCGTGTCACAGGTATCTCCCACTCCTCCGTGTCACAGGTATCTCCCACTCCTCCGTGTCACAGGTATCTCCCACTCCGTGTCACAGGTATCTCCCACTCCTCCGTGTCACAGGTATCTCCCACTCCTCCGTGTCACAGGTATCTCCCACTCTCGTGTCACAGGATCTCCCACTCCTCCGTGTCACAGGTATCTCCCACTCCTCCGTGTCACAGGTATCTCCCACTCCGTGTCACAGGTATCTCCCACTCCTCCGTGTCACAGGTATCTCCCACTCCTCCGTGTCACAGGTATCTCCCACTCCTCCGTGTCACAGGTATCTCCCACTCCTCCGTGTCACAGGTATCTCCCACTCCTCCGTGTCACAAGGTATCTCCCACTCCTCCGTGTCACAGGTATCTCCACTCCTCCGTGTCACAGGTATCTCCCACTCCTCCGTGTCACAGGTATCTCCCACTCCTCCGTGTCACAGGTATCTCCCACTCCTCCGTGTCACAGGTATCTCCCACTCCTCCGTGTCACAGGTATCTCCCACTCCTCCGTGTCACAGGTATCTCCCACTCCTCCGTGTCACAGGTATCTCCCACTCCGTGTCACAGGTATCTCCCACTCCTCTGTGTCACAGGTATCTCCCACTCATCCGTGTCACAGGTATCTCCCACTCATCCGTGTCACAGGTATCTCCCACTCCTCCGTGTCACAGGTATCTCCCACTCCTCCGTGTCACAGGTATCTCCCACTCCTCCGTGTCACAGGTATCTCCCACTCCTCCGTGTCACAGGTATCTCCCACTCCTCCGTGTCACAGGTATCTCCCACTCATCCGTGTCACAGGTATCTCCCACTCTCCGTGTCACAGGTATCTCCCACTCATCCGTGTCACAGGTATCTCCCACTCATCCGTGTCACAGGTATCTCCCACTCATCCGTGTCACAGGTATCTCCCACTCATCCGTGTCACAGGTATCTCCCACTCATCCGTGTCACAGGTATCTCCCTCTCCTCCGTGTCATAGAGTACTTCCAAATGATACGAAAATTCCCATTCGTTTAGAAGTTGAATTTATGTACCTTTTCTGGCTGTGATAACTTCCCTGCCTCTCTAAATAGAAGGCCAAACGTGATTATTCCTATGTCTTCACCATGTTTTTCGTTTTATGAGATATTTTGCCTGCGTTTTGTATCCTGATCTTCGTTTATTTCCGTATCTGTTTAGTTAGAATTTGCCATCGTTGGACTTTGCGTTATTTTCCTCTGCCTCTAGAAGTCTCTGTTGAGATATATTTGTATTTTTTTTCCTAACTCCTCTACTGACGTAACTTACACACGTATTTTGGTATCGTCTGCCAGTAATGATACGCAGCTGTGGTTAGTGTTTTCATTCATGTTTGATGTGAGAATGAGAAACAACAAAGGTACCAGAACGGTAAAGGTACGAAACTTAACATTATACACAACTAAAACTGGATCTCGTTTGGTTTAACAGCAACACTCTCTGCGATCTTTTTTGTTAGGAATTTGGAAATCTATCCCCGTCCAGGCACCATCATGATGGTCTTAAACAAGTCGTTATTCAGTTATGGTTCTGGTGAACGTAGACTGTTTAGTTTGTTAGTTTTAACTCCTATCGACTGTCTGTAACGAACTAAAGTAAATTCATTGTATATACACAGAGATATGCACCTCTTGATTTTTCTACGATGTGGTGGTATTTGTGGGCCTAATGTTCCGCTAATTTGGTTGTGTTTCATCTCGTGTTTGTGTGTTCAAGTTTCATTTCAAACATCCCGTGTCAAGATTAGAATTAATTTGTTAAAATCATGCTGAATTATGTTAATTCCGTGTTAAAAGAATGTTGTACTAAATCTGTCTTTTCCTTCTCGTTACACTTTACGCTGACAAATTTTTTTACTTGACGAAATGAACACTTGTAAACCAGGATGCCACCAGACATAACCCTAATTTTTAAAGGGGTGGACCTGTAAGCCAGCGAAAGGTCTCGGTCAGAGTTCCAATGGCGGGTTATCATATGACTAAGACCTGCTTCGGGAAACAACTGTCTTGTTTCCTGACAAATCATACCTAACCTAACCACCAGACAGAGATCCATATTTTTTTCAAGACACTAAAACACTATTTACAGCTTCAAGTCGCCTACTTTTAAACAAATTTAATGAAAGATATTAGAGACATCGGCACACTTCTTACCTCACTCCTCCACCATAAGACACAAACACTGGCAAAATGTTGATATTTTCGTGAGAACAAGTTGTTCTTTCTAAGGCTGGAGGTGATCGCTGCAACCCACACCAGCGCTGGAAGAACACTGACGCTTGGTAACTCACTGTTACTGAAGCAACTCTGCAAGAAAACGGAGTGCGGAGCCTCGGCGGATGCTGAATGTTATGACATAAATAAAAATAAAATTTCAATTTCAAATCATAATTCAAAAAATATAAAATAATTTGAGCCTACACTTAGATTAGTAACATCCCTTCCTCACCTCCCTTGAGCTATAATAACCCGAGTAATCCAACGATACACTTTTAAATCCTCCCTCATTAGATGTGATCTGGAACTATCAACTGGTAGGTAACAGGGACAGCAGGGATTAAGAGGCTGGGCCCCATGTACCACACCTTGTCCAGGATTATACCCGGGTCCTTTCGGTTCTCAGCCGAACGCCTTATTTCCGTCGAGCTGCGAGGTGGCAGGTAAAGTTCCTGGAATGTTACATAACTCGTTCCCTATCACTCGTTCATTATCACTGGTTCACCATCACTTGTTGACCATCAGTGGTTTACTATGTGCCATTTACTGTGTGTACCACTAACAACAATCTTCAATACATCTATCGAAACAGAGCAACTGCCTGAGGTATGTGGAAGACAGCAAATGTAGTCCGATTTTTAAGAAAGAAGACAGACAGGCTGCACTAAATTACAGACCAACGTCGCTGACACGTACTGTACGTAAAGTTATGGAGAAGAGTAACAGGAAAAGAGTGGTGAGCACCTAGAAAGGGATGGACTAATACATGATAACCAGAACGGCCTCAAGGAAGGGAAATCCTGCATCACAAACCTATTGGAGTTCTATGACAAGGTAAGAGAAGTAAGACAGAGAGAGAGAAATGGGTAGACTGCATCTTCTTGGACTGTAAGAAGGCTTTTGCCATATAATCCACACAAGAGACTGGTTGAAAAGCTAGAGGAGCAGGCAGGAATAGGAGGGAACGTATTGCAATGGATCATGAATAACTGACAAGAAGGAAACAACGTGTGTCGGTAAGGGACGAGATGTCATAGTGGATACATTTTTCGAATGGGGTTCCACAAGGGTCTATTCTAGGTCCGTGTTGTTTCTTGAATATGTGAATGACATGAAGAAAACGGATAGTTAGAGGTGTTCCTGTTTGCATACGATGTAAAACTAATGAGGAGAATACAAACGGACGAGAACCAGGTGAGCCTACAAGGGGATCTGGACAGGCTGCAAGCCTGGTCGAACAAATGGCTCCTGGAGTTTAACCCCAGCAAGTGCAAAGTTAAGAAGTTTGGGGAAGGGCGAAGGAAACCGCAGATGGAGTAGAGCCTAAGAGGTCAAAGGCTGCAAAACGTACTCAAGAAAAGGGATACTGGAGTGAGCATCATACCCAGCACATCTCCTGAGGTGCACATCAACCAAATAACTGCCGCAGCTTATGGGCGCCTGGCAAACATGAGAATAGCGTTTCGACATCTAAGTAAGGAGTAATTCACGACACTGTACACCGTGTACGTCAGGCTCTAATTGGAGTATGCAGCATCGGTATGGAACTCACACCTAGTTAAACACGTTAATAAATTAACAAGACTAGTCCAGGAGCTGAGGGGTTTATCCTACGAGGAGAGGTTCAGGGGATTCAACCTAACAACACTTCATGACTTTGCACTTGGTGGGGTTAAACTCCAGGAGCCAGTTGCTGGACCAGGCTTGCAGCCTGTCCAGTTCCCTTTGTAGTCTTGCCTGATCCTCATCCGATTGAATTCTCCTCATTAGCTTCACATCGTCTGCAAACAGGGACACTTCTGAGTCTATCCCTTCCATCATGTCATTTACATATACGTACCAGAAACAGCACCGGCCCTAGGACTGACCCTTATGGACCCCATTCGTCTCAGGTGCCCACTGATAGCTCGTCAGGTACCATGACTCGGTGTTGCCTCCCTGTCAGGTATTCTCTGATCCATTGCAGTGCCTTTCCTGTTTTACCTGCTTGATTATTATAATAAAAAAGAAGCGCTAAGCCACAAGGGTCATGCAGCACTGCAGGGCAGGGAAGGATGTATGGATATTGGGTAGCAAGAGGGAGAGGGATGATTATTAGGTTATGGAGTGCAGCAGGGCAGTGGATAGTGTAGGGGTAGAGGGTAGCAAGAGATTGAGGTAGAAAAGATTGAGGGGAGTGCTAGACGTATCATCAGAGTTTGTGGAGTAGATCAGATGCTGTCAAAAAGTCAATGACAGAGTCCGGATTAAAAGAGGGTCCATCAGCAAGAAGGGAAGGTAAAGAAAGAACAGCAGAGCAGACACAACGTTGGAGGTCAATTCTGCGTGCTCGTTGATAGAGTGGGCAATCCAAGAGAATGTGGCTAATAGATACTGGAACCTGACAATTCTCACAGAGAGGAACAGGGTGCCTCTCCATGAGATACCCGTGAGTAAGACGAGTGTGGCCGATGCGAAGACAGGAGAGAGTAGTCTCCCAACCTCGACACTGATGACAAGAAGATGGCCAGGAACCTATACTCGGTTTAATAGAATGAAGTTTGTTAAAGAGCAGATCAGACCAGATTATTACCAACAGGTGCGATGGTGGGAAGTAATTACAGCAAAATAGCCCGTAAATGGAACACCTCTATATGAAACTGGGAGGTCATGGACTACTGACCGTGCAGCAGTGCCTGCCTGTTCATTGCCCAGTACGTCAAAATGACCAGGGACCCAACAAAAAACATTATCTTTGTGCTTGGTAGAGATATGGTGTAACCAAAGTTGGATACAAAGAACTAGGGGGTGAGGTGTATCAAATGCTTGTATAGCTTGAAAAGCACTAAGGCATTACGAACACTTCGAGCAATGGAGATTTTTTTGACTTCTGAGAAGTAGAGGGGCGATGGGGAGGAGGTGTTTTACGAGTCTTGTCGATACTGGAATTTGTGAGGGAGAAGATGAAGAAATGAGAACAGACTGAGGTGTTGAGGTAGGGACTTCTGAGTCCAGGACAGCAAAAGATTTAGACAGGAGTGACTATGGAAGGGGTAACCACAGAGGAGGCTGCAGAAGATGGGACCCCAGAGGTGGGGGACGTTTAGAAACACGAGAATAAGAAATACGGGTAGTCTCCTTGGAGGCATAGATGAGAAACTGCCATAGCTTAGGGGAAACCTTCTGCCTCTTTGAGACAACGAATTTCTCGCTCATTTAAGTAAACTTGGCAACGGCGAGAGTAAGATGGGTGAGCCTCATGACAATTAAGGCAAGAGGGAGGTAGACTACAAGACGTATTGGAATGGTCATCGGCACCACAGACTGGGCATTCGGCTATAGATCTGCAATATTTCGCTGGATAACCAAACCACCACCAATTTCTACACTGTTGTGCTGTAGGGATCACCTTTTGAACTTATAAACGATGTCCTGCTATATAAACAGAGGATGGGAGTTCAGGGCATCGAAAGTTAATCGGGCTACATTGCAAGGGTATCATCTCCGCCTGCGAGCAGGGAGGACATAAGTGTCTACTTTGAGGATTTGGAGGTCTTGGAGTTCCAGCTGTTCTAGGATGTCATCGTCACATGTCTGAAAATTCTGTCAGACAATGATATGGGGCAGAATGACAGTACTACTACTAGAATTGAGGGAATAATGTTTTTGATAGTGACAGGAATAGTATCGACACTTGAAAGAAGAGAAAAGTCATGAGCTTGGTTAGCATTCTGGACAGTGACGATGCGTGTACCACTCTTGAAAGTATGAAAGGATATATCTCTACCAACATGGTGTAAGAGTGCCTTGCCAATATTATGGTCAGAAAGATAGGCAGTAGAGGAAGTCGGTCGTAAAGTAAAGAATTTAGTCCATTGTGCGTTCTGAAACTGAGCATGGAAAGGGAGTCTGTGACATGCTGTTCTTTTCTGAGTAGAATGAGAAGGAAGCAAAGAAGTATCATCAGGCAATTGTCGTGGGCATTTAGGAGTGGGACCAGAGTTGGTCTGACGTGGGACGGGCTGGAGATTCGAAAATTGCAGCACTATAGAGCGAGAGGCCGGAAGCATAGTCAAAGAAGAGCGGAGGTCAGACAAAACAGCACCAGCAAGAGGTACAGGGGCATTAAAAGTGTCTGAAAAGTGGTCAAAAAACGAGGCAGGGTCAGAACGGGGTGCGGTATCAAGAAGGGGCGGAGAGCAGGTTCATGGATTGGGGACTCCATGGTTAGATCACTTCTTTCTGTTTGTTTTTTAGAAAAAAAAGGAAAGAAAAAACAGGTGAGGGAAACATAGAGGAATAGCTACTAGGAGGAAAAAAAGGGCCGTAAATCCCCCTCCGCGCCCAAGAGGACCTCAGCACCGCATGTAGTGCAGATGCTACATGGAATCTGTGCCATACCCTACCCTTCATGCCAGTAAACCAGCAATCCAGGATAGCAACCTCACATCCACCGAGCCACCTCGGTAGACAAAAGAGAGGGCGGCCAGACACCCGCCACAAAGCATACCTCCTTTGGTCACCACCCCCTGGAATCAGACAGGCAGCCTCCAGAGATACGCCCGTCACCCGAAAGACACCCAAAGCCACCCCCCGGGAGATCGGAGAGGGATCGGGACATCAGGTCTTCCAGATTCCAGGGCAAACTACACCACTGCCATTGACCTCAGTGGAATGGGATGGACCCCGGTACCCTTCCCACTACCTAGGAACTAGATTGCCTGTAGGAAGAATCCCAAAGGCCGAAAAGAGGAAGAGAATAGGGGAGTATTACAACCCAGGAGTCCAAATAGCCTGTTATCCTGGGTGTAAAGGGAGCAAAATAAACACAGCAGAAAAGTTTTGACTTGTATTATCCTTCACCAATTTAGAACAGCAATATGTACACTATATACACTATATACAGTAATAGGTATTAGTGCACTCCACGGTAAGCAAGGCAGAATAGAAGCCACAAGAGAGCAGACCGTGATTCAACCAGCTCTAGAATTGGAATGACAAGGGCAGACAGGAGAGTGGTACTCACATAACCTCTACGGTTGCCAAAACCATCTTATTGGCTGGAACCTGGTTACTAGTTGAACGACGGGGCCCCATCGTCAACTCTTAGT